TAAAAAAGGTTAAAAACGACCCAAAAAACAGCACACTAAAAACAACTAGTGACCTCATAAAGAAACACTCCGAAAAATTAAATCTGGACGTAAAATGGATAATACCTACGTGCGCCAAATCACCAAAGTTGTATGGGTTACCAAAAATACACAAGCCCAATGCTCCATTACGCCCCATAGTGAGCCAAATCGATTCACCAACTTACAGATTGGCTCAACACTTAGCGAAAATACTCTCACCGCTCAGGGGACATACAAGAGCACACATAAAGGATTCCTACCATTTTGTCAGCGAGATTAAAGACCTACGTCTGGCAGACAATGAAACTATGGTCAGTTTTGATGTGCAGTCATTGTTTACATGCTTACCTGTTGAAGACTGCATCTCAATTGTAACTAGAAGGCTGGAAGAAAACAACATGCCCGTAGAATATGCAGTATTACTCAGACACTGCCTTACATCTGGCTACCTATTGTGGAAGGAGGAGTTCTACAAGCAAGTAGATGGTGTGGCGATGGGCTCACCTGTATCTCCCATTGTCGCCGACATATTCATGGAAGACTTTGAGGAGAAAGCCCTGCTTACTTCTCCCATAAATCCAAGATTCTACAAGCGGTACGTAGACGACACTTTCACAATTCTACCTTTAGATAAAGTAACTGCATTTTTAGACCATCTTAACTCTATAAATACTAAAATTCAGTTCACAATGGAGTTAGAGACAAACAATTCCTTAGCTTTTCTAGATGTGTTAGTAATTCGGAATCCTGATAACACCTTGAGCCATACTGTGTATAGAAAAAAGACCCATACAGATAGATATTTAAACAGGCTGCATGAAAACAAGCTTCGGGTCCCGCGCCTACGTCACAGAGAACGAGTGAAGCCGGCCACAGTGGAGCGTGTACCTGCTGTACTGCCGTATGTTAGAGGAGTCACTGACAAGATTGGCTACATCTTGAAGCGCGCTTCCATCAAAACATACTTCAAGCCGCCGAAGAAGATTGGTCAGTTTTTACCATCAGTCAAGTGTAACGTCCCTCTGCAAGATGCAGGAGTGTACAAGCTTGATTGTGAATGTGGTCTCTCCTACATAGGACAAACTAAAAGATCAATTAAAACCCGCGTCAAAGAACATATAGCTGATGTGAAGAATCGACGCTCCGGGAAGTCTGCAGTCTGTGAACATGTACAGGATCGCCCCCGTCACTACATCAGATTTGATAGACCACAAATCCTCGCTAAAGAACACCGATTCCTTCCAAGGATGATTCGCGAGGCTATTGAAATCAAAAAACATCCTAATTTCAATAGAGAAGATGGCTGGGTGCTACCATCTGCTTGGGATCCTATAATAAATTAAATTAAATCCCAACCCAAGCATACAACTGCAAGACTCCATGATACCATAAGTTCATACTGTGTAGATCGGAACAAAAGTTAAATTTTAATCTATGGTAACCGCGGTTAACTATGACAGCTGGACGTTGAACATCTCAGTCCTTCCCGTGACCATGGGTGCTGTAAAGCTCTCGAAACGTCGGGTAAGAAAGTTAAATATACGCGATAAATTCCGTAAAAATTAGTATTATTTCAATTGTGACAATACGCCCATATGCTGCGCCTTTTAACTATTTAAAGTCAGGGCTTAACTACTATTCCACTTAATGGTGAGAATTTAGCTTAACAGTAGCAAAACATTCTCTACACTCACCATAAGAAATGCAGCAGCATTAAGTTGCTATTCGACGATGGTATTCTGTGAGAGCGTGGTCCTCCTCCAGTCGAGCCAACCCATTTGCCAAAATAATTTAGCTACGGCGTGGTTCTATCGCGTAAAAATCATTTTTTGACATCTTTAATAAATAATAATAATATAATATAATATATTTTTAATTCAGACCATAGTCCATATAAAAATGTGTTAGTAAACAATGAACTTATATAACTATGTTAATACAAAATGTGTTAGTGACTATTACTTATGCTATGTTAGTCCTTAATCTATCTTAACCTATTCAGCACCAGCGTGGGCGCTGAGGCCTAGTGCCGGGTTGCACATCATTCCAGCTCCTCCAGAGAGGGCTGTCTAGCTTAGAGGCCAACGCGCTGAGGAGGGTGTTAGTGCTTCTCACAAGCCTGCTCATCATGGACGCGGCACGCTTTCGCACAATCGCGTAGAAGTCATCCACACGACTGTCCGCAAACATTGCCGACGCACTGCAGTTTCGCGGCTTCCTCAACACCGCCCTCAGCACATTGTTGTATTGCACTCTCAGGGCGCCGTAGGTCCGCTGCGAATAGCCCGTCCACACACTGCACGTGTAGAACGATTGGCAGTAAGCTTTAAACAACGTCATCTTAACCTGCTTTGTACACCGTGTAAATCTGCGGGCCAACATGTTGCCTCTCACCGCCAGCGCCCGGCGCTCGCGTTCAATGTCGCTGTCATCCTCCAGGCTGTCGGTTACTATATGGCCAAGGTACCTGAACTCAGTAACCTGTTCAAGGGGACACCCACATAGTTGAAAGGTGGGTTTCAATATGGGTAGCTTATTTTTCCCCTTGAACACAAGAAACTCACTTTTGTTGGAGTTGTAACTGAGTCCATGTACCTTAGCATACCCTTCACAAATTTGTATTAATCGCCTAAGACCACTGATTGAGGGGCTCAACAGAACCATGTCGTCAGCATAACTAATGTTGTTTATACTGACCCCATGTACCGAACAACCGACACCAGCTCTACTGAGGCTCACAATCAGTTGATTTACATACAAATTGAACAGCCTAGGTGACGTCAGCTCTCCCTGCCGTATCCCACACCCCAGGCTATAATCTTCGCTCAACGCATCATCCCATCTCACCACATTTTTCTGGTTACCATACAAATACTCGAACAAAGCGATTAGCTCAGGCTTTAAACTGGTTTCGTTCCTAAGCTTTTGCCACAAGATTTTGTATAGCACTCGATCAAACGCTTTAGACAGATCCAAAAAGCAAGCATATACCGATGTTTTTCTATCAGTGTAATACCGCACAGTCTGCTTGAGGCACAGTATTGCGCTCTCTGTTGAAAGTTCCGGTCTAAAACCAAACTGCGCATCGTGTACTTGGAAAGATTTACGTAACTGCGCGTCAAGCAGACTGTCGAGGACTTTAGCTGTTATTGTTGCCAAGGATATCGGCCTATAATTGGATCTGTCCGCCGCATCGCCCGTCCTGTTTTTAATAATAGGCACTACCACTGTTCTCATCATAGCCTCAGGAAGGTAACTGTGGCTTACACAAAGATTGTACAGTAGCTTGAGGACTCTGGCAATGTGCACACCCGCATATCTCAAATGTTCAACGCTGAGGCCATCGTGTCCCGGCGACTTACCACGTTTCATGTTTCTAATTGCATCATTCACTTCCTTGAAAGTGAAACGCAAGGGGCTAATCCCCGAGTTCACGATGTCCTCACCGTCGTCCAAACTACAAACTATCTTGCTAGGATCCACTTTGAACTGAGCCTTGAACATATTGGCAATGTTTTCACTTCCAGTTATGCCACCCACTTCTGCTGGAAGAGGCACCCGAGCATTCAGGCCTTTCGTTTGCTGCCAGAACTCTCCGAATTTCTTCGCCTCACATGACATTGCCAATATGTCCACCTTGATTTGTTCCGCATTGTCTTGGCACCACTTAAGCTTGCTCTTAAAAACCCTGCGCGAGTCTCGCATATCTTCATACAGAGCTCCACATGTCGGCCGTCCTGCCCAAACCCAGGTTTGAAAGCAGAGACGAGCCTTTATATGCGCCGGTCTCACATGTCTATTCCACCCTGTGATGTAGCCTTTCTTATTTCGTTTTAAACATTTATGGCTGTAACTCGCAGCATCCAGCAATATAGATGTAATATCGTCATAAAATTTCTCTATGACTAAGTTGTGTTCCGGTTTGTCACACATCTTATCAGAACAATCCCTCAATTCCGCCGGAAAGTCAAGTAGCCTTAGCCTGCTATTACAAAATTCAGCATACAGTTTTATCTGATCACTATCTCTGTGACCCCAGATTACCTTATTATCCGCCGTGTACTGTGCTGACTTCACTTGAGGTCGGACTAAGTTGAATTTACAGTAAACTTCCAGAGGATAATGATCAGACCATGTCACATTGGTTTTAAAATGTATGCTGTCAATATATTTGCTAGCCATACTAGTTGTAAGGCAATGATCTAACCAGCGCGAGCAGCCGTGACTATCACTAATATATGTATATACATCAGTATTATTAGATAAAAATTCATAATCAGAACATACCCACGCCTGCTCGCTACAAAACTGAGACAATTCATTAAAAAATAACTCTCCAGGATGTGCGTTAAAATCGCCTAAGATAAAAACAATATTAATTCCGCAGTCCTCGACAATTGCATTAATTTCACTTAGGCACTCTGTGAACTCGAAAAGATTATCGGTGCAGTCAGTAGGCATATAAACCGAGAAAATTAGCATAGTATACCCACGAAGCTGGCATTTGATCGCACACAATCTCACACTGTTACATTTCACTACTGACACGGATGAAAACATATTTCTACGCCATAATAGCGCGACGCCTCCGTGTGGACGTCCGCGCAAAATGCCGGCGCTTGTGTCTACAGCCGTTGTACCCGTTGCTTCGAAGTCTTTGTGTACAGTGCCAAGGTATGGAAGGTCAAAATCCATCAGCCAGGTCTCTTGAATAGCGACCACCGACGCTCCCTCGCATAAGCTTCTCACATAATCAACCGACCGCTTCAGGGACTTACAATTGAAACTGACTAACTTCAACGTGTGACATTTATTTTTATCATTAGTTTTGTGTTGGTTCATTAATATTTCGGTCCTTATCTCGATTTACATTTGCCTTTCTTGCATGCCTAAAAAATATATAACGCCTGAAAAATATGCCCTCCGGCCATAATTCTTTATTACTAAATAACGACAGTTTGCTCCTAGGTATCAAAAACTTAAAGGAACTTAAAGGAAGATTTCATATTTATCTTTTCTGGCACTATTCTTATCTGAGTCTTTTGTTGTATATATTCCGCTACATCATGTTCAGTATTTTCTTTTGAGACATTATATATATATAACGGGATTTGTGTGTCCGCTGCTTTCAATCTCGAAGTCGAGTCTGTCATCGCTGTACCTCTCTCACCTTTAAAACGCGATGTACGTGTTCCTCGACGCCTCACTACACGAACCCACTCCCCTTCACTATCATTCTGCAAACCACCTTCATTCAAATCAACCGCCGCCGCCGGTATAACACTGCGCCGTGACGTCACCTCATCGGTTACTCGATGCGCGAGCGCTTCATTGTTCACAGTGCCCTGCCTTATAATATCATTTTCGCTCCGGACACTCTCGCTACGCACTCTATTTGGATAGTGCATAGGTGCGACAGGGATAGATGGCTCAGTTAACACCGCCGGTGCATCTCCCAGCATAGACGGTGACTCATGCACTACGCCCGAACTCCGTGACCTCATCGGAGGCGATGTGACATTCTCTAGGCCGGTCATTAACCCCGACTGCCCGCTATTACAATACTAACTTTCATTCATGCAATAACCGCCTCTTTTAGCATTTAAATAGGGAGTATATTCTTTTAACTCAGAGGGAGATACCTTATCCCTAACATTGCATTGCATTTCGCCTTTTCATTGAGTTTTATAATGTTCAAAATCATTTTTCGTGATAAAATCTTCTTGCTTCTCTTGCAAATCCCTTACCTGCTTCTGTATTACAAGTATATCCTTCAGGAGACGTGTAGCGTCGACGTGGTCAAACGAAACCGGCGGCAACTTTTGGAGATCCTTTGCCACAAAAATTGGGATGTGTTCGGGATCAGTACCTTTTAATGCTGAAATTATATCGTCTATGTTTTTCTGCTTGCTGTCCTCCCCTTTCCTTTTTACCAACCGCTGCGGAATGGACTCGAAAAGCAGACATTTCGCTTTAAAGATATCTTCGTCATCAAAAGACTGCCGGCAAATTAGAGCCAGGCTCACATTGTTCATTACATCTATTTTGTTTTGCACAAAACTAAGAACCTCATTCACCACTAAATTACAGTTGTTACACTTTAGCGTATTCATTATATCGCAAGAGGTCAGCGACCTCTGTCTAACCGCACGCGCTGTCAGCTGGCGACTGACACAGACTTAATACAGTGTGTATTGTCTCGCGCCAAGTACACTTTCAAAATATAATATGTGCGTGTAGGTATGAGACTATTGTGTCTCTATTCTCCGATCTGATGTAAATATAACCTCACCAAAATTTTAACTTCATATTTTTAATTATTAAGGAAATGTCGAAACTTTGTACAGTCATTTATCATTTTGTTAATTGTTTCCATATAAATTATTCTATCTTTTATTGTATTTATATTTTTCAATATCTAACATTTTTGCCTGCGTTGTTTTTCGATTGTACTAGAGATTTTACTTATTTCGGTCGAAGTTTTTGTCTTCTTCTTCGAAACACCCGCGTTTGCGTTGACCTAGCTATTTTACTTGTGCTAAGTAGTTACGAGTAGCATATAATAGCCCATTATTCTCGATAGAACACTATTAGATACAATTTATTATCCTCGTTGTATTTATTCTTTAATATTACTTATTTATATTTACTTTTAATTTTCATGTTTGAAATTATTAGCACGACGAAGAATAGCACTATAAAGATAGAAAAGACAATTTGTTTAAAAAAGTAAGTTGAATTATCAGTAATAATAAGTAATCAGTATACAAACAATTGAACGTCTAATACCTCAGCCCTCCCAGTGTCGGGAATATAAAATAATTTAAATATCACACTTATTTATGTTGACTGGCCTGTTGGTCTAGTGGTTAGTGACCCTGACTGCTATGCCGGAGGTCGTGGGTTCGATTCCCACCCAGGACAAATGTTTGTGTGATGAGCACGATCATTTGTTCTGTGTCTGGGTGTAATTTACCTATAATATTTATGTATTTAGAAATATCTAAGTATGTTTATTAGTTGTCTAACATTTTTGCATAACACAAGTTCTGCTTAGCTTGGGACTAGATGGCGTTGTGTGTGATAGTTGTGGAATATTATTATTATTGTGGGCTATCTATATAGTTTTCTCATCTGGTTGGGTTCTATAAATATATAATTATAAATGAAAATGAAAAGATAAATATACATAAATATCAATAACATAAAATAAATATAAAAATACATAAATAAATAAAAGCCCAACCAGATGGAGGCCCTCGGCAGGGGAGACCAAACGGCCGAGGGTTAGGGGGAAAGGGAAAGAAACCGGCGGACGATGTGGGCGGTATCGAGGAGCACCGCCTTCTGCATTTGAGCCCGAAGCGGTCCGCCACGTAGTCCCAGTCGCCTCAGATGACCCGAAAGGCTGACTGGGATTAGCCCGTTTGCAGAGACGACTACAGGAATAATTTCGGTCGGCAGACCACCCCACATGTCAGTCACCTCGTGAGCCAGGTCCAGATATTTTGTTTGCTTGTCTGTTTCGGCTTTCACGAGGTTCTCGTCATACGGAATGGTAATGTCGACCAAAAATGTCCTTGACTGTGTCCGGTCCATCAGCACAATATCAGGCTTATTCGCAAGAATAGTCCTGTCTGTGATGATGGCCCGGTCCCAATAGAGCCTGGTGCGATTATTTTTGAGCACGGCTTCCGGCAAGTACTTGTAATACGGCAACTTCCGATCCACGAGACCGTATTTCAGAGCGAGCTCCTGGTGAAGAATTTTGGCTACTAGGTTGTGCCTGTGCAAGTACTCAGAGTTAGAAAGCGCCGAACAACCGGAGATGACATGCCTAAGTGACTCACTGGGATGGCAACAAGCTCGACAGATGTCCACGGTGCCATCCTTTAGGATGTATCTCCGATAGTTGTTGGTCTTAATAACCTGATCCTGTATTGCACAGGCAAAACCCTCGGTTTCCCCGAAGAGATCACCAAAGCGTAGCCAGTGGAGGGAGGCTACTGTGTCTACGAAAGGCTCATGTAGAGCCTTGTAGAACCTCCCGTGGAGCTCCTTCTCCTTCCATACGTTCTCCCGGTCGGAAATTGTCTACACTGCCGGGTCTTGCCATTGCTCGTTGGCTAAGGATAGAGGGGTAAGTCCTTTATCACTAGAAATGACGTCCTTATAGAATGGATCATCCGATTATTATTATTATTATTATTCGTGAATGAGAACGTCACTTTACGTGCACCATTACAAATTAAACGAAAGAACGATGAACACACATACACATAATGTTGTTATCTTTCTTCGTCCCTAAACTTTTTAGTTAACGCTTCGTGTAATTTTAGAATTTCTACAAAATTTTCGCATATCTGCCCTCAATCCGTGCATATCAATATCAACAAAATACGATCACGTATCAGAATTTCGCTCCCAATTAAAGTGGTTGACTATACGCCAGTGCAGAGATTTTCGAATGCTGTCCTCTCTGTTTTCAGTTCTTAATGATTCTTCCTCACCCCTTTACCTAAAAGAAAGATTCCAATTCCGTAGTGACACTCATTCTCTCAATCTCCGATCTTCACACAATTTATTACTGTCTACTCCTCTCCACCATTCTGGGAACAAGGAAGGTGGATGAAATCCATCCAAATGGGATATGTTTTTACCATTCACGGTACGATTTTGGACGATTGCCACCCCATTTGGATTAATGGACGTATCGTCAGTAGGTACCATTACGTGACAAAATGGCACGCTATTGTCAAGTCTACTGACACATATGGTGCATTAAAATTACATTTAATAAAAAAGGTGATTAGCAGTTTGATTATAATAAATACTTAATAACAAAATATCTGCTTGATGTTTTTGTAGTACACATTTTATAAATCAACTAGCTCTAACTCTAGCTAGTAGAGCTCTGAGACATAATTAGCCGCTAATACCATCGTCGCTCGTTGAAGCAATTGATTTCTTCGCGTAATTTTCACTTTAAATTTCACTAGATTTATGAATTTAGATATATAACATAACAAACGATAAACTCTTTTATTTTGTTATATATATAAATATATATATATATATATATATATATATATATATATATATATATATATATATATATATATATTACTTTTAATAGTGTACTAATAACATATTAAAAACTAATGAACTGTGCATACGGATTTTTTATTCTGATTCTCATTGATTTAAATTACCCGCTGCAGTTTATCGTTAAGCCATTATACTTGTACTTTATGCAAGTCTCATATGGCAGTGTATTTGTAGAAATGCCAATTTTATTGTAATTTACTTCAGAAATAGTTAGCTGCAAGACAATTATTTTAAAAATTATACTTGTACATGTGACTCCAAATTACTTAGATATACTTACATTAGTTTAAGAACTTAGTTATTAAGGTTAAAGAAAAAGTTTTATTATTTCTTGCTTTTCAGTTTTTTCGGCGGTGTAATTTTTTTATTAAAAAGTTGTTTTTTAACGTAAATGTTTATCGCTGAAAATTTCACATTGCATTGGTAATTTAATTTGGTTATTTCTTTAAATTTAAGGTAATTTAGTGATATTTGTTCATTGATTGCTTGGCGCCTACTCAAAATGACTTAGGTATACTTACATAAGTTTAAGAACTTAGTTACTAAGGTTAATTAAAACCTCAAAATAATTACAAAAATAAATACTTAGGTTATATATGGAATGCGTCACAGCCTGTAACAATTTACACTAGTACTATGTAAAAATATAGTCCTTCCCCTGGTCGAGCTAACCCCTAACCATACAACTAGCTGCATGCCCACAGTTGAATATAGCCCTACTAAATGCTACGATTATAAATCGGCAAAATTGTAACTAACAATTTCATTGGCGAAAATTTTACGGATTTGCGACGAAAACCCTTTCATAAATAGGAGGCTGTAACTGGTTATCACAATTACCAAACTATTTTTAAGATTATTTAAAAAGTTTAATCGGTCTACGGTCTGTAATACGGGGGTCATTGTAGAAGCGTGCTCGTCGCGACCCCTGCCAGCCCTTTTCAGGGCTGCAATTCTACACAGCTGCGCACCCATGCAAACGAGGGTTAGGGCGTCCCCCCAAGGCGACGCGCATCAGCTCGTCCCCGTTGGTGTGTAATGCAGCGCGCAAAGCGGCGATGGGGACCGCCACTCGTCACGCACAGCCTGACACGGCGGAAGGTGGAGGACGGAGTGCAGAGTTGGCACGTGGAATGTTAGAGGGGGCATGAGAGATAAGACGAATGTGTTGATCGAAATAATGAAAGAAAGAGAATTAGATGTCGTGTGTATGTCGGAGACCAAACGGAAAGGCAGTGGTACTCGTATTGAAGAGCTCCCTGGCGGGACGTTAGCTATATGGTCCGGAGTCCCGGAAAGCGAGAGCGCCTGCCAGGGAGTGGGAGTGCTGTTGTCGTCCCGGTTGGTCGATCTTATGACTGAATACAAGGTTGTGAACTCAAGACTTCTCTGGGTT